CAAGTAGTTCCAGAGATCCCCTAAGAAAACCGGATTTTTGAAAAATAACTTCAAAAACTTGTTACTTCTGAAAATGTGTTTTCAAGTTTTGATTAATGAATTTGCGAAAACCACAAGTCTCTATCATGTTTTGTTTAGAAGTTATTCAAAAAACAACCTCTTGTAATTCGAAAACGGTAGTAGTTTTTTTAAATCATTTTCGTATCGTTTCATTTATATTCACTTACTCCATACTAATGGGTCGTAAAAATTGAAGTTAAACACTTTTGGTGTTAGAAACATAATGGTAGCTGTCTTGGATGATAATATAACTCATATTGATTTTAACAGTGAATAAATGGAGACTGCTGACAATGGTGTCATATTTAAAGAAAAATAATAAAAAACAAATGTCATGAGACTATAGTACAGCGACGTGGGAAAGAGTTATCAAAATAATCCCAATAAATAATTGTATTTCTTCCATTGTTGCTGTGTTTTTTTTCTTTTTTATTTGAATCTCATTGTCGTGAAGTTAAGTGTACGTGTAGTAGATATAACTACTCTTGTACTATTATTAGTAGTTCACATTCATACACACACAAGAATAAGAAGAAAAGAAAGAAAATCTTCTATTTTCATGCATAACAATGAGATATTTCATAGTACACAGCAAATTTTAGATGAATTTGTACGTTTTCAAAAATAGAAATATAATGTGAAATCAAACTAAAACGGAAAGAAAGAAAAAGATATCATGGTAAAATGACGTTCAAGTAAATTAATGAGTGTAAAGTTTATTCAACTTTAACGTCTAACCTAGTAATTAATTAATACAGACGTAATGGACTATTTTTTTGGGGTATGGTCTCTCTATAGTATCATGTCTTTAATGAATCATTTTAATGTTTCTTTTCTTATTGTTTGTTTGAAATACAATATGTTTTGAATCTATATGTATCAATATAATACTGATTTAGTAACGTACAACGTATATAGATATTATAAATAATAATCAAAAACAAAAATAAACAAAGAAAAAAAGAAATGTAATGTTTCATGACACTCAATGGTCAATCATTCGTTCATCCTTTCGTTCTTCTTCCTTGTGTTGGTTAGCGGAAAATTAAGACATTTTAAATTTTCAAAAAGACGTTTTTTTACTAAATGTGAATGTTTTTTTTTATACAAAGAAGAACCCAAATCTAACATATAGATGCTCATCGTGACATTTGACCATAGAAGGTTATACTAATCACATCAACTTCTTATTCATAACTAAACAAGTATATGAAACTTTTTTGAGAAACGACAACAATTTCTAATTTGACAATTTTCATCATGAAACATGTTTTAGCAATTATCCCCTTGCACAAGAAACGGTCTAAAGCTCTATTGCTATTGCTGATGTATGCATCTTGTGACAGATCACAAAAGACCCATGGGATCTCTTCATACAGATCAACACTTGACTTCATCTTTGATTACTTTGATGTGTCTTTTAATCTTATATTAATAATTCATGTACGATTGTTAAAGATATCGTTTAAACTAACCTTGCTCAATGTTAAACGTTCCTTTTGGCACCATTTGTGTGTTGTAGTCCAATTTTTGAAACGGTTCAAATGACGCACAAACATAGGAAGCACCATCTTTCAAAATTTGTACATCGGTTACTTCTGAGCCAGATTTTGGAGTAAAAAGTCTTCTGACACCGTACGGTAAATCAACTGTACTTGATAAATCTTGTAATAGTTGACCTAATGATGAGTAGCGTTGAGGTGTAATTGAAAATTGTTTACCGGCAAAATATCGATCACCATTTCGAAATACGGTGATTTTTCGAGATACATTCAATTTTTGAGAATAATCATGGGGGAGCGTACGACGATAATTTGAGCGAGTAGTGGACGTGGGATTTGTTGTTCGATTATGAGATTGTTGTTGCCAATGAGAAGACAAAACGTCGGTCATTGAAGTAAGAATAAGAGAGAATAATTAAAAATAAAATAATGAAAACATCACAGACTCTAAAACACTTAAAACAAAAGTAGATAAGTAGTTATTGGTTGACCATTTTCATAAAAGTGGATAGAAATGGCGTTATACACAAACATTTATCATATCCTAACTCCTTAATGTGATGACGTTGCTTTACCGCAATCAAAAACTTGCTGACAACAGACTACGAATATCGTTCTCAAATCTTTCCACGAGTTGATTATTAGTTTAACCTTTTCGGTTTCAAATTGCATCCTTAACAGAGTTTTTCAGGAGATTTTTCGACGTAACAAGACGAACAATTTAAAATGTGGTGACTATGACAACACCTTATTTCCATTAGTCTGTTTTAAACGAATGATTGTTTTAGTTTTAAAGTGCATGATTTTAAATTATATATTCAGCGACGATACATAGTTCACAACAGCCACTATCCATTTCAAAATATAAAAAGGATGACTTATTGACTACCAGATGAACGAAAAATGATGGATAATTCGGCTTTTCAATGTTTTTTGTAGACAAGACCTTAATCTATCTTATGGTTTATAGAGAATCAAAAAAGGCGGTGTAGAGTTAAAGTTGCTAGTATTTATTGATCTATAGCGAATTCTACTTTTAAAAGGTGTCACAGATAGTGTTTGGTCTTTTCTACCCATTTCTCTATATTTCATTGTTTAAATTAGACAAAAAAAAAGAATTAAGGTGCGATTGATAAATTAAAACGAATATGGATAATTTGATTTAAGCGCCCCCCCTCCCCATAAATTATCTCCGCCACCGTACTTCCGATCTTGACAAACCTTTACACAAATGTTAGGTTTAATGAGTTACCGGAATGAAAAAAATTTTTTGTCTCCAAGTCTTACCGTTTAGGAGTTTTCTAGAGATCAAGGTCAAGTATTTCCCAAGATTTTTTAATATACTTCAAGTTGGAGAGTTCGGGTTTGTTTTATTTTAAACTAGACACCTAAGTACATGGACTGACCGGCGCTAATTTTTCAATTAAGCCGTTGTTGGTTTTCAGGCAACCAACAACCTCTAAAACCCGCAAAAACCTTCTGGATTTTCTAAAATCTTCAATTTGACAAAAAACTAAGACCTAATTCAAAAATCGACATCGGTCAGTCCATAAAGTTTCTTTTCGTCTTTTAAACAAAAGAAAAATAAACTCTCTACAACAAACCGCTATAAAAAATCTTGGGCAATACTTCAGGTGTAACTCTTATATTGAAAAAACGCTGTATTAAACGCTGTATGAAATACTCAGTTTTAAGACTTGTATAGGAAAATGCCTGTCACTTTTGATGCAAGGTCATTCTGAGTTGTGCAAGGTCTTATTCTGATCAGAAAAGTTTGCTCTACAAATCTCTATGTTCAGAAAATTTTTAATTACATAAGTCTCCAGGAAAAAACTATTATTTGAAGACCTGGTTTTCTGAGGCTCTTAGAAAACTTACTCAAAATCCTTGCTGAAAAATCACTTTTGTAACCAAAAGTGATACAGATTCTGAAAGTAGACACTTCATGCTATCTTTCCATGTGCGTATCTCAAAACCGATTTTTTGACCGAAAACCACCATTTCTGAGGGGGGCTTAAATTACTGCATACTAAAAAGAAATACCACTAAACCATCGCTTATTTCGTTTTTCCTAAAGTACGTAATCGATTTTGTAATCAGTCAAATTGAATTTTTATAATATACATACATCGCTTTTGGGAGCGTGAAACCCAATACTATAGTGTTGATGAACGAACAGACATTGTAGATTAAATTCAATTTTTTTGGTTATAGTTCTTTTGTTCAAATTTAATTTCTTTTACTCACATATTTTCTATCGTCCATAAATCTTATTTGGTAAAATCTCTTGACACTGATATTATTTTCTACATATTTAACTGACAAACGTTTTAGTTTTGCTTTACTGTTGTTTCTTTTCTTTACTTTACTATTTCATTTTCATATTTCTTTGATTCAAGTACACAGAGAAAAATAGAGTTAAGAGACATTAGAATTATTCTATGCAAAAACAGTTTTTGTTTTTGTTCGATACGGATTAGAGTACATATTTCCTCGTCTATGATGACTTAATGCCATATATGATTTTAGCGAATGATCCAGTATCTGATCACGTTAATTACGTGATACTCTATACTCAAGTGGAATGAACAAGGTAGAACATAAAAGTGGCAGAAAATTATATTCAACCGTGTACGATCGTCGTAAACAGCCGTAAACGATCATATTTTCTTTGCTCAACAGAAAATCGTGTTTATCTCAGCTGGGAAGCAAACTGTCGATTTACTCAAAAATGTTTCGTTTTCGAGATAAATCGTTTTTAATGTTTTTCTTCAAAAGTCTCAGTGCTATTTCTGCTAAAACAACTGCCAGCTGATCAAATTTTACAGAAATTATTAAATGTCGTAGTCCAGTTTATAATACCGCGTTGTTTGTAGCAGAAATAACAAAAGCTAAAAACCGATTTATTTCGAAAGTGAAACATTTTTGGGTAAATCAACAGAATTCTAAGGGTCTTCAGTTTTGTGTTGAATTTCATCCTCCACACTTTCTCGCATAGGCACCACCTGAGAGAAATGCTTCCCAGCTAAGATAACCACGATAAGAAGGTTAAAGCTTTGTGTTGAATGAATTATACAAAACCTTGGAGCGTAATTAAAACTACAAAAAATCAGTATTTCAGAGGGCTCTTGTATTTGCCACTATATGAAACGCATTTCGGGTTTTGCAGAGCGCAAAAGGGATTTTTGCGTTTTTGCGCTCTAAATGCAAAACGGAAATGCGTTTTGTATAGTTGCAAATGCAAAAACCCTTTTTCGTTTTGTAATACATGTTTATGTTTAGAGTGTATCGAATTCAGAAAGCAACTCCCTTGGCTACTTTGTGAATGACTATTGAACGAAAAGAGATAAAAGTCTACGGATTTCATTAATATGTAACCAGAAGGTAACGGAATAACTGTATAAAAGAAAGTTGGAAGTATTACCTGTAGGTAGTGCATCTAATAAGTTTTTGAAAGAGTATGTTGCCATAAATTAATATCCCATAGCAACCTCTATGTCTGTAATATACAAATGATAGCCCGTGCCATCCTCTACAAATTTACGAAAGAGAGAGGTTTCCATTTGTCATGGTTAGACTGAGGGTCAGATTTTGAGGGGAGTCCCCAGACTGTCTGTAGCTCCAGTATGGGAATCCCCAAAACAGATAGAAGCATAGATTTTCGCCCATTCTCTATCATGCGGCAAAGTTTGTTTCCGGAAGAAAACTCAAGAACCTATAGATTTTCACTATCTATAGTAGGCGAAACATTTTCCGCCATTTTCACCAAAAAGTAAAATATTCAGAATTCAGTCAAAATTGATCCATACTACTCTAGAACTTCAACATATATTTCAATTTATCTGTCGTATACCATGGATTTTAACAAAACTGGATCTTAAAGATCTGAGTTTTCTAGAAAACCTTTTAAACTTTATCCAAAAAATTTTCTAATCACATGATTGGATAGAGCGTTCAATTCTGAACAAAAGGAGACGTTTTGAAAAAATTTTCAACTTGGGATGACTAAAGTTGAGGCTTTATAAAACGTACATATGTGAAATTCCAGTTTGTTTCTGATCGAGTATTTTGGGGCACTTTTCGTATGCGAATTTTGGACGGTAGATCCTAGAAATAACGGCAATATGTTACTGCGTTCAGAATTGAAGGCTCTATACAATCATGTGGCTAGAAAAGCTTTTAGATAAAGTTTGACTTTAAAAGATTTTCTCGAAAACTCGGATCTTTAAGATCCTTTATCTCAAAACCCTTAGATGGGCCAGATTGTTTTTTCTTTACATACATAGTATTTGCAATGCTCTTTCATTTAAAATCATCTGCGTCAATTTTGAAGTGGGATGAGATCCGATGTGAGCTTCACACCATGGGTCAAAATAGCTAGGAAACGGCAGAATTCCACTACTCTTGGTGGGAGAGTAAAAGGCCAATAACTTTTTCCCGCAATATAGACCTGCAGTTTTCACCAATAAATTCAGCGTAGCACGCACTACAAAATTCATGCTATCTCGCCGCTAGCGCTGATAGTCGATGTAATGGTGATGTTGCACGTGGATTCATCCACTTACAATTACAGGGGGCAATCAGTATTAAAGCCTGCTTTGGAAGACGATCAGTTATGATGCAGAGGCGTCAGTTTTAACACTCGTTCTGTAGCACATATCTTCGAGTAGTGTAGAAGTCAAAAGTCTAGTTAAGCTTTTTCTAAAAAAGTGGACTTTCAAACTTTAATTTTCTTCGTCCGATCAGTACTGTTGGCCTTTGAGAAAAATTAAGAATCACAAAAAGTGAAAGAGTTAGGTTATCTGGTGACTGTGCGTGGTGTTGTTGATTAATCATCATCCAAAAATGTGGTTATTTTCTTGTGCCTAGAATAACTATTAAGCATTTATGAAAAAGCAACTTTAGTATTGATATTTTAGTAATCTTAAAATAATACTTGCCTGGCAAATTTTTTCAAGTATTTACCAGTTCTCAATGATATTTCCTTCAAAAGTTATAAGCAACATTACACCTTGGAGATCAAAATCGAAAAATACCTAGGTGTATTGAAGCGTAGTATCTCAGGTAAAAAATCTAAGCTCAAACATACAAAGTTTAGACAGGGTCGATATGATACGCAAGGAAAAACCTAGTTTTTCAGAAAACACACGCAAGAGTAAGGTCTAAGCAAAAAGTCCATTTTATCTTTTGACAAGATGCTCTGGTAAAACTCCTGATCATCCTCTATGAGTCATTAATAAAATTCTGTAGTAGGACAAGAAATAAGACAGTATCTTTAAAATTAATGAAATAATTGAAATAGTATAAATTCAATTTGGATATGTATAAAAACTACTCTGAATATCGCAAAAAATATATCTTAAAATAGCGTATGTATGCAATGAAACTAAT